AGCACCGTAGCAACATGCAAGCCTCCACTGATAGACGGGTGGTGGCTGTGCATAAGGTGCACTGGCCAGGAATCAAATCTGGGTCTCCCACATGGAAAAAGAGATAATTAGGTGAGCAGAGGATGGTAAGGGGCATTCCACATATAAAATTGGGGCCAGTATACAAACGGGCTTTGAACAAATGGGACTGGGGTGAGGTGAGAAGATGAGGAACAGAAGAGAGGATGATGGTTTTTTGAGGTGAGAAAGTTAGAGGTTGTATTTGGGATTTGACCAATAGTTGGAAGAAAGGCATTGTGGGTTTTGTAACCATTGGGATGGCCTAGAAGTTTCCATTGGCCCGGAGCCTGGGAGAAGGACGCCTGAATATTGGAGGCTATGCCACGTGGGGCTGCTGCCAGCTGGCGGTTACCTTTCAGCAGTTTGCCATCCTTAATCTCCTCAGCCATTATTTGAGTTTTATGTGATTATTTGAATATTCTGATTGTATTTTTCTCATATTTTATAAGCAGAAATGGAAAAATGGATCTTGAAACGGGTAACCAGAGGTCTTAGTATAATTGAGATAAAGATGAAAATCAATAGGCATGCTGAAATGGCAAATCTTTAGCCTCATTGGACTTAGGTTATTGCACGTTCAATTGAGAAAGAAAAGAACATGTAGGTATAAAATGCTGAAAATATATCACCCGAAGATGAGCTCCGTAGATGAGGTGTAATTAGGGATTTTATAATCCTTTTTAGCTCTATGGGAACAGAATATCATGTAAGTGTGCTTGTTCCACCTGAGCATGTATTTTCAGGAACCCATTATGTACAGAATGGATGATTTCCTGTAGACTAGGCAAGGAATGTCAGGTGCCAGGTTTGGGGCACTAATGGGAGAGGAACAGAGGGCAGGGGTAAGTTCTGCAAACCCAGTGTTAATGTAAATGGAAACACTCAGCAGTTCAGTGGGCATGAAAGATAATATTGAGTTGGAAGGGTTGGGCAATTTTTTTTCCATATGGAAAGCAACAGGGCAACTTTCTCTGAGGCTCTTTAAGAGCTATAAGAAAAAACCAAACTCGTTGCTGTCAGGTCGATTCCAACTCATGGCAGCCCCACATGTTACAGATTAGAACTGCTCATAGAATTTCCTTGGCTGTAATCTTTATGGATAACCAAAAGGTTGGCAGTTCGAATCCACCAGCTGCTCCTTGGAAACCCTATGTGGCAGTTCTACTCTGTCCTATAGGGTCACTATGAGTCAGAATTGACTTAACAGCAATGGGGGAATCTTTACAGAAAGGAGCTCTGGTGGTGCAAAGGCTAAGCGCTCAGCTGCTAACCTAAATTAGGTCAGTGATCGAATCCATTAGCCACTCTGCGGGAGGAAGGACCTGGGAATCTGCTCCTGTAAAGATTTACAGCCTCAGAAACCCTATGGGGCAGTTCTACTCTGTCCTATAGGGTCACTATGAGTTGGAATTTACTACGGCACACAACAACAGTCTTTATGGAAGCAGATTGCCAGACCTTTCTTCCACAGCACTGCTGGGTGGGCTCAAACTGCCAACCTTTATGTTAGTAGTCTAACACAACCTTGCCACCCGGAGACCTTCTTAAGAGCTATAAGAAGGTAAAAAATAATGATAATAGTAAGGATGCCTAACACTTTCAAGCACAATGTGCCAAGAATTGTTCTAAGTCAGTATTTCTCAGAGTGGGGTTCCTAGACCAGCAGCTTCAGCATCACCTGGGAACATGTTAGAAAAGCAAATTCCCAGGCCCCACCTCAGTCTAACTGAATTAGAAACTCCAGCAATCTGTGTTTTAACAAGTCCTCTGTGATGCGGATGCACAGTGAAGTTTGAGAACCACTGCTCTAAGCATTTTTTCTGTACTAACTCATTGACTTCTTTGAAGAGCCTGTGAGGAAGATTCTATTATTACCCTCTTTTACAGAAGCTGCAGCTGAGGCTCAGAGAAGGTAGGCTATCTGTCTAAGATCACACAGCCAGTAAGAGGTAGAGCAAAGATCAAACCCAGACCATTTGGCCACACAAATAAAATCTCTTGGATTATACTTTAAATGTTAAAATGCTCTGAAAATTCCCTGAAAAAGTCCCAATAAGGAGAACTTTCCGAATTTTGTTTTAAGTGTCCAGCAAATTAGATACAGACTGTTGACCTGCTTCCTTATAAAAGAATTTTTTCAAAAATCTCAGATTCATTCTTTTATTATCGCTGAAACGACGCTACCCGCAGAATTAGTACTAGCACCAAGTTTCTGACCTTCTTCGGTCTCCATCTGGGGATCTCCCTCTGGCCTTGTCATACCTACACACACGAGGAATGGTTTATTAGGAACGCTCTGGGCCTGGGGGTGATTTGTGTTTATAAGAATTTTTTGTTATCTGAGAAGGCATCTGGTCCACAGGAAATGTAGACATCATTAGAGATGACGGCTGTCCTTTCAAAGTCATACAGGAAAAAAATGGAGGTGGCCCATGAATTCCATCCCAAGAACAGGAACCTTAGTAGACATTGATATCACTGGAAACAAATGCCTGGAGTGGAATTCTCGGATCACATAAGTTCTTGGTTGGCAGAGTAACGAAGTTGCTAGACCCTGCTGGGGTAGGATATAGTATCTCGTTTGGGAATTCACCTGGGACCCGTGTGTTCACCTTGCTAGACATCGGGTGTGGGTAATGGTAAGGAGTGAGCCTGGGTGGCACAGTTAACTGCTCAGCCACTAGCCGAAAGGTTGGCAATTTAAACTCACCCAGAGGCACCTCGGAAGACAGTCCTGGTGATCTGCTTCCAAAATGGTGCAGCCGTGAAGACCCTATGGAGTAGCTCTACTTTGCACACATGGGATCGCCATGAATTGGAATAAACTCAACAGCAACCTACAACAACAGTGGTAAGGAAGGCCCAGGAAAGTACCGCTGGAGAGATGGAAGTTGGGAGGCAGACAGCAGGATTGGGCAATAGGGAGCAGCATAGGTGACCCAGCTGCATGGAAGCCTGGTGATGGAACCTAGTTACATGGCCGGAGATTGCCAAGCCAAGTGCCCACAGTATCTGTAAACCTGAGATGGACCCCACCTCCCTTCCCTGTGAACAAGGATGTAAGAAGCCTCTTCACTTGACAGGGCAGGAGAGCATGATGGCTAAGAGCCCTGGGTCTTCTGCCAGGTAGGTCTGGATTCCAATCCTTGCTAAAACGCTTAATAGCTATGTGACCTTAGGGATGTTACTTAACCTCTGTGAGCCTCAGTTTTCTTAGTAGTAGTCTAGCTATAATCATGTTACATACTTAATAAGGTTGGTGTGGTTACTAAATGAAATGACATCTGTAAATTGCTTGCCATATAGTGAGGAGTTAACAAATGGTAGCTGTTACTATCTTAATATTTTTTATTATTATTGCTAAAGGAAACCAGAACATATAACAGGGAAAAAACATGGGCTTTGTATTCAGAGCCACCTGGGTACAAATTCTGGTCTTGCATTTGCTAGTTGTATGACCCTATGTATACTTGCTTTTCGGAGCCTCAATTTCTTCATACGTAAAAAGGGGATAGGTTAGTGGAAAAGGTTAAATTGGATAATACATGAAAAGGGTATATAATACAGTACCTGAAAGAGAGTAAAAACCAATAAATTATCCTACTGTCATTCTTCCGATTATTACCATCATCATCACTGTGAAGTCTTAGAAATGACAAATGGTTACCATTTACAGAATCCCTACTAAGTGTGGAAAGTTCTTACCTCAGGGAGATGGGGTTAGCATTGTTCTCCCCTTCCCAGCCTTCTTGGTTACCCATTTCTCTGGGTCGCTCTGACTGGGTTGGGGAAGTGCCTGCTTGACAGGAAGCAAACACTGTTGACAAGCCGCGAACTACAAAAGTCCAGCCTCTCCTCTGCCGCCTCCTGCTTCCTCCTGCCTGTCCTCCGGGATTACCCAGGATAAGCTGGGTCTTTCCCACCCACTGAAGACAGGGTGGTTTTGGATGACCCCCCAGACATCCTTGTTTGCATTTTTCCTAGCTGAGCCTTACTTTTATGTTTGCAGCCCATGTTTCTGTGTCTTAGAAAAAATAGGTGTGTCAGCTGTTTTTCACTTCCGGGCTTCTCTGCCACTTCATTACAGTGCTGTTTATTCCATGTCTAACTTCATTTATGGGGTGGGGGGATGCATTAAGTAACAATGGGCCCAGCTCCAAGTCCCAAATCATTTCCTAGGTGGCTACTATCCTGTGTAACTGTTTTGGCTTGAAGCCTTCTGGTTGAGGGAGGCGGGGGTAAGTCCCATCCAGCAGAGAGTGAGACAAGAGAAAAGTTGGGTTCTTCTCTAGCTGACAGTCAGTAAAGTAAGGATAATATCACCAACCTGATAGAATCATTGGGAGGGTTGAATTAGGTGAGATGAAACACATAAATAAAGCCTCTGAAATACACAGAACACTCAACAATTGTTAGTTACAATTGCAGAAGGACTTAACTTTTTCTTTCCACACCTTTCCCACCCACACACTCATCAGCGGACACATACTCACTGGTGCTAGAGATTTTGTGCATGGTCGCTTTCATGCTGGTGTGAGAAACCCTATATTTATCTTTTTAAAAAGATGTATTATTTCTGCATAGTTTCCCATTGCCCCAACATTCCCTTTTCTGAGTTTCGATCATTCAGGGCTTGAAGGACGTTGGGTGTCCACAATAGTGAATTCAGTCAAACTGGCGTGGATTTTCCCTGGTTTGATGGATGGGGGTGGCGGTTGGGTGTGACTGACGTCTCCATTTTTTGCTATGGAATGTCTCACTGTCGTCTCCTGAGGCCTTGGCCTTCTGAGAGGACAAAAGCCCTCTTAAACTTGGAGGCATGCGTCTCTGGCACACAAGTGCCTAGAACTCGGCACCCGTGCGCATTGGAAGTGGAAGAGGGTTTGTCACTTGCCCTCTGAAATAGCCCAACTCTTGTGTTCTTTGTTCTCTTTTGGCAGAACCAGCTTCTTTCAAAAGGACTGTTCTTTGTGGAGGAGAAGATTAAACTGTGTGAAGGCAAGTCCAAGGCAGCCTTTGTAGAACGGGGCCTCTGTGACTCAACCTTTGATGTTTGGACAGCTTGAAATGCTTCTGTCCAAAAGTGACAGGCTCCAAGTCAGTGATTCACCTTGTACGTTTCTCCTCCGACACTAGGTGGCAGCACTTCGATTGGATGCAGCCACGGCAGTCAAAGTCAGGACCGTGTTTAGAAGAATGAAGAGGAATTGGGGTGGTTTCTTTGGAGACCTTATTAAGTGGGACAGCCTCCATGGGATGCCCACTGGTGGTCTCCTTTGAAGGGATTAAATTATACTGTGGATCCTACCCTGCTACTCTCTCTGGTCTGATCCTATACACCCCTTCCTGTGTTGTTGTTGAGTACCATCTAGTTGATTCCGACTCATGGTGACCCTATAGGACAGAGTAGAACTGCCCCATGGGGTTTCCAAGGCTGTAAATCTTTATGGAAGCAGGCTGCCACATCTTTCTCCTGCAGAGCGGCTGGTGGGTTCAACTCACCAACCTTTTCAATTAGCAGCTGTGTGCTTAACCACTGTACCACCAGGGCTCCTTGCTATTTCCTGTAGACCTTGATAATACCTCATAAAGGGCAGCAGTCATCCATTTGGGGGACATTAGGCTAAGCAGGCACCCACTTAATGGGGTATGACTTGATAGGCAAAGGGAAATTTCTTGGCCTTAAAAAACACTGCATGGAGACTGAGATGGCACCAAAGGCAAGAACCCACTAACTGCATTTCTCTGCCAGAGTCTGCTGTTAACTCCCACCAGTCTGGGTCTGCTGTTAACTCCCACCAGTCTGGGTCTGCTGTTAACTCCCACCAGTCTGGGTCTGCTGTTAACT